AGGGGCAGGGTGGGCTCTAAGCTCTCTGAGAGCCCATGTGAGGAGGGGAACTGGTCAGTTGGCAGCATCCACAGTCCACGCATATGTTTAAAAGGATCAGTCTCTCAGGAGTATGACTGTTATGGCACCAAGAAGAGACAAGAATTTTCCCGGGGGTCTTTATAGAAAATGACAGTGTGGCCTAATCAATAACACTAGATCCTTATAATAAATGGAGTTCAAGCGTCTGTTTCTTATAATAGTATCGCATCAAGTATGATTCAGGAAAAGCAATTCTGTGAGGACTCACACCAGGAGCTGAGTGCAGAAGAGAGGGAAGGAAGAGGCAGACCGAGGGGCAGAACCAGTCTGCACAAGGGCATGGAGACATGACAGCCTGGCACGAAAAGTCTAGCAGGCCAGGAAGGGCGACAGCTACACCAGAGAGGGGTGTGATCTGACAGTCTTTTAGACATTGCTCAGGGCACCAAAGCTTACAGAGGAAAGACACAGCCCCAGGGGGCAGGTGGCAATGCTGACACCAAGAGCCAGTCAAGGTCCAAAGGTGGGTATGGGCCCCTGCCAGCCCACCCACAGCAGGAAGCAGCTCATGTTCCTTAAATGAATCAAGGAAACTAAATTCAGACCTCCAAACCAGAGGAAAACAGGCAAGCCTTGAAAGTCTCTAGAAAATGCATCGCGCTGGAAGCAAAGGGGGTGGTGGTCTGAGCTCAGCAGTGAGAAAGATCTAGGTTCAATTCCTGCTTCTGCCACTTACAGCCATGGGTCTGAAGAAGCTACACACCCAGAGCTTCGGGTTCCCTATTTGTAAACTCAGCATAAAAACACTTATGGCATAGGGTCTGGAGAAGACTTTGTGAGTTCATNACTGAGGGTTGCGATCTGTTGCCGGACACGAAAAAAGACAAAAAGGAAAAAAAAAAAACCTAAACTCCAATGTGATGGTATGAGAAGGTGGGGGCCTTGGGGAGGTGATTAGGTCATGATGAGATCAGTGCCCTTATAAAGAAGGCTCTA